GTTAATTTTTTTTAGTGAAGCTTTTCTTTGTTGATTTCAGGAATTTCTTCTTGTCATTTGCCTAAATTGGAAGGACAAAACCCATGTTCACTCACAGTTTATATTCGAGTTATGCGTTTTACTTTTAATGTATAGGCTTGCTGCGAAAGAAATATTTGAGGTTAAAGGGGAAAAGCCCGGCTCCCTTCGTGATCGCTAATTGAATGTAAAAAAATAGTTGTAATATACTTATTTTAGCTTCAACATCGACTCTGTGGTAAACTTAAAACAGTCTTGTCGGTAGAAATACGTTGAATCTATCCATTCCAAAATGGTTTTCATATTAGCAAAAAAAGCTGAGGATCTAGCCGAGATTGCAAAATTCCTAGTATCTACCCAAAAAGTAATTTGTGACGTCAAAGGCGGACTTTGTTAATTAGGGAACTGTCAAAATACTGATATTGGCACACGAGTTTTTGGGTGGAAAAAATTCTTTTTTAGGTTACTTTTTTTTTTTAAATAAGAAATTGAATGTTAAGTTTTTTTTGATGAAAAATGTGTGGATTAGTGCTATCCAGTGGATAGAGATTTATTCAGTGGATAGTGCTATCCACCTTTTGAACAACTAGGACCTAGGCAAATTGATTTAATAAAATCAGGTTGAAATGACAGAGCAACTTGTTGTAAATTCTTATTAAAAAATCTCTGCTACTGTTACATTATTTCTGACAAGATATATGATTGAAAAGTACATTGTTGTGCAGTATGGTAAAACACCTGGTTTGTCAATACAATAAACTGCAGGATACTTCAAAGACACATTTGAGTATGTAAATCACTGCTCTAATGAAAAGCTTTTCAATATCCCAAAGTGGCTTATTTGCAAAACTATAGAAACAGAAATATCGCCATTTTATGGAAATGGTCCATTTCAAATTCATTTCAAGTAATCTTACAGACATCACATCAGACAAAAATCATATGGTAAGATGGATGGACAAACAAAGGCAACAATGGGCAATTCAGTTTTCAATACCCTTGACCCCCTCTGTATACTTACTGATTTTTGAAATCTCCTAAATGGTTATTGAAGTCACTCTTAAAATTTGTAACTTGAGACAGAAAGCTAATGGACTTCATTTGTCATCCTGCCAGTAAATATCAAATTATTTGTCTTTCTTTAAATTTTGTGTAAAATTAATTGTTGTTTCCTTGCCCCTGCTCGCACCAATCCTCCCGCAGCCACTGTCGATCAGGGGTCAATTTGCTTGTTTGTTTGTTAGTCTGTTTTCTAAAGTGAGATACAGAGAGAGAAACTTGATCAAAAATTGAACTTTCTGGAACAGTGATTGTAAAAACTTCTGATCTAATAATAGAATGGAAACTGAAAGCGTTCGGCGCCTGCACAAAAAGTTTCATGTGGCGTGTAAAAATAAAGATTTCCGCCTCGCGATATTTTTAGGCAACCTCCGTCGTGCCTTGTCTCAGGGGACAAGCTGTCTGGCGCAGTCTTAAATGCTTTATGTTATTTCTTTTTTAAATCAGTCTTTAAGAAGGAAAAATATATTAAAGAAAAATACGGCCTGCTATCTTAAAGCAAGCACAGATAGATGTCGTCGAATTTCCATGTCGTTAAAATTACGGCTTTAAAATGTTTTGAACTTTGATACATATTAAGCCCTGACGAAGTCTTTTAACAAAACCGAAATATCGGCAAGACCGAATCATTTTTTCCCAGTTTTTTGAGGTTATACAATGCTATTCTGAAATTACCATCCTGACTTTCGATGTTGGTTGATGTGCTTTAAAAAAAGAAATGCATATATTTTTTCAGTCAGACATATTCGGGTTTAAATAAACTTTATAACGCCAACCAGGCGCAAACAGCAAGGATTTTTAAGCGTGTGGAGCAATTCGAGAGATTTCGTACACATTGCGGACCTATCTGTCGGCTATCTGTCGGTTCTCTGTCTATTTTGGGAAACACATCACGAGACCGGAGTCTCGATGTGTCGCCAGATGTGTCGACAGGATCAGACCTTTGAATCTTGAACCTGAACAGTTTGATATTTAATCTCCAATCTTGCCATTTTTTTAATTATGTTTTTTTTTGCGCCTAATACTAAAAATAAGCTCAAATTTCTGATTATTTACAATCTACGAATGGCAGGCTCTATCGCCTTTGTCAGGGCTATGTCACGGAAAGAAAACAAAAGATGCTACGTGTCCGCTTACATAATATGATAATCTTTCAGCCAATTAGAAGGCGACTTTCTTTTAAACTAGCCAATCACGATCACCGACAAATATGAAATGAACTTTGGCGCCCAAAACTTCAGTCTTTTTTGTTTACATCGACTATTTTGATCATGGAACGTTGAGTTTGGGTGTGTAAGCAAAGTTCCGTTCATCTTACCTATGCATTTTAGGTAAAGCTATTCTTATCTCGTAGTTCTGCAGTTCTGGTAGCAGAGAGGTGGTGGAAGCGCACAAATGAGGTATGTGAAAGCTAAGCTATCGTGTTTTGTAAGCGCATTTTCTTCATACTAAAATGGCGTCTTTCTCGATGGTGACAGCTGAACTTTATATTCCGTTCCGAGGGGAATTATATTTTTCTTCAACGTAAAACAGAATGCAAAAACATGAGCTCCTTGTGCTTTTATTCCTTCTTATTTTTGCGTGGTAATTTTATCGTAAGAAAACTGCTTTCGCGAGCAAATATTTTTCGTCTTTCGAAATCAGTCGATCGACGTAAACTTAGGCTTATTGTTTTCGTGTATTTTTCTTTACCCTGGCAACAATTTCACCATCCGTAAAATGTATTACAGAAAAACAATCCCTATCTTCATCCTGTATTTAACGGTAAAGCAAAAAATTGTTTGAGACGAACATTCTGCGAAGGGATATCGGTTTGGTGTTCGCTCTTTCTAATTCGTTTCGTTAGCCGGCGGCCGGCACAAAGTTCAGGTTAATTTTTTTTAGTGAAGCTTTTCTTTGTTGATTTCAGGAATTTCTTCTTGTCATTTGCCTAAATTGGAAGGACAAAACCCATGTTCACTCACAGTTTATATTCGAGTTCTGCGTTTTACTTTTAATGTATAGGCTTGCTGCGAAAGAAATATTTGAGGTTAAAGGGGAAAAGCCCGGCTCCCTTCGTGATCGCTAATTGAATGTAAAAAAAAAAAATAGTTGTAATATACTTATTTTAGCTTCAACATCGACTCTGTGGTAAACTTAAAACAGTCTTGTCGGTAGAAATACGTTTAATCCATCCATTCCAAAAGGGTTTTCATATTAGCAAAAAAAGCTGAGGATCTAGCCGAGATTGCAAAATTCCTAGTATCTGCCAAAAAATAATTTGTGACGTCAAAGGCGGACTTTGTTAATTAGGGAAATGTCAAAATACTGATATTGGCACACGAGTTTTTTGGGTGGAAAAAATTCTTTTTTAGGTTACTTTTTTTTTAAAATAAGACATTGAATCTTAAGTTTTTGTTGATGAAAAATGTGTGGATTAGTGCTATCCAGTGGATAGAGATTTATCCAGTGGATAGTGCTATTCACCTTTTGAACAACTAGGACCTAGGCAAATTGATTTAATAAAATCAGGTTGAAATGACAGAGCAACTTGTTGTAAATTCTTCTTAAAAAATCTCTGCTACTGTTACATTATTTCTGACAAGATATATGATTGAAAAGTACATTGTTGTGCAGTATGGTAAAACACCTGGTCCCAGTTGTTCAAAACGTGGATAACGCTATCCACCGGATAAATCACTATCCACTGGATAGCGCAATTGGTTTCCCTAACACTTATCCGTTGGATAGTGATTTATCCGGTGGATAGCGGTATCCAACNGAGATTTATCCAGTGGATAGTGCTATTCACCTTTTGAACAACTAGGACCTAGGCAAATTGATTTAATAAAATCAGGTTGAAATGACAGAGCAACTTGTTGTAAATTCTTCTTAAAAAATCTCTGCTACTGTTACATTATTTCTGACAAGATATATGATTGAAAAGTACATTGTTGTGCAGTATGGTAAAACACCTGGTCCCAGTTGTTCAAAACGTGGATAACGCTATCCACCGGATAAATCACTATCCACTGGATAGCGCAATTGGTTTCCCTAACACTTATCCGTTGGATAGTGATTTATCCGGTGGATAGCGGTATCCAACTTTTGAACAACCGGGGCCTGGTTTGTCAATACAATAAACTGCAGGATACTTCAAAGACACATTTGAGTATGTAAATCAGTGCTTTAATGAAAAGCTTTTCAATATTCCAAAGTGGTTTATTTGCAAAACTATAGAAACAGAAATATCACCATTTTATGGAAATGGTCCATTTCAAATTCATTTCAAGTAATCTTACAGGCATCACATGAGACAAAAATCATATGGTAAGATGGATGGACAAACAAAGGCAACAATGGGTGATTCAGGTGTCAATACCCTTGACCCCCTCTGTATACTAACTGATTTTTGAAATGTCCTAAATGGTTATTGAAGTCACTCTTAAAATTTGTAACTTGAGACAGAAAGCTAATGGACTTCATTTGTCATCCTGCCAGTAAATATCAAATTATTTGTCTTTCTTTAAATTTTGTGTAAAATTAATTGTTACCTTAGTGGCAATATACTTATATAATAACAGTTAATTTTTAATAATTTTCCCACTTTTTCCTGCTCTTGTTTTTATATATATTTTCTGTATCCCATCTGCAGATACGAGGATTTTGTGCAGCTATTTGTAGAATTAGAAAGTCACTGTTAGTCAAGGTGAGTTAGGGTATAAGTATGTCACTAAGGACATTTTGTATAGTATAACACCATGACTATATTAGTTTACAACAGGACTTTAACCTATTATCATGCTTTACCAAGTTAGTAGATCTCAATAAGGGTTTAAAAGATTCAACAGTAAATTTATAAGAATGTCAATGTGTGAATATACTCTCTTATTAGATGAAAGTTTCTTGTGGTTTGAATGTTGGCAAGCTGCTTAGAGTGTTGCAGGAGGGGCTGCTGAAAGAAGAGGCTGCACACTTTGCACCACTCACATGCCTGGTGGGAAATGAGGTAACACTTCATCTTTAAATTAAAGGGGAAAACCCAATTTTATTTTGTAACATAATGTATTAATTTCTAGTGCAAAGGTAAGTGCTTGAGAGGCATTAACTAACTGCCTGGCAATGCTGCCTCTGTAATTGAATATGGCAACAAAATTATCTAAAAACATTTCTTTTATTTTAGGATTCAGATGGAATCAGTCTTTCTCAGCGGGATAACATCACAACATTCATGCTGAATCTGAGCAGACACTGTGGATTTCACTCAGAAACATACTCCCTTTCTGTTAACTTGCTTGATCGTTTCCTCTCAGTAGTAAAGGTAAGTTTTTTTCCCAGGTAAATAATAAACTTTTGTTTTTGTATATTGAGTTAACAGGAAGAAAACTTATAACTGTTACTTACTGGTCTTAATTTTTTTTAAGCATGTACATTCTATTAATTTAAAAAATGTCAAATATCAGGTTGTAAAAACAGGGTTGTCAGAAAGTTTTGAAGTAGATCGATGAGTGGTCAAAGTAAGTGGCCAGTCCAGGGATATTTATTTAAAATTAAAATAAATAAGGTTTTGGAGCTAAGAAATTTTCTTGTCTGTTCTATTGTAGGCAAATCCTAAGTACCTTCCTTGCATGAGCATCTGCTGTCTTTTTCTGGCCATTAAGATGTCTGAGGAGGATGAGGTAAAAAATACCCATACACTACATTACTGTTTAAACTAAGATCTAAGGTTTTTCCACTACAAAAATATAATTGTGTCTTGAAAGACTGTTATTGCTCTTCACTGAGAGTCAAGGGAAGCAATTGTGGCACAGTGGTGACCCGCGTTCAAGTCCTAGCATCAAACCCATAATTATGTGGGATGAGTTTGTCCTTGCTCCAGTTTTTCTCTGTACTCTTGCTGGTTTTCCCTTCTTCTCAAAAACCAACACTTCCAAAATGCATTCTTAAGTGTAAGAACTCCCAGGTGCTTCATGGAGAAACAAATTTCAATTTCCCATATTATTATCTCTTCAGTGAATGATGAGGGTAAATCTTCAAATCTGATGTCAGCAGTTTCTTCAGTAAATAAAGTCATGATACTTGGTTCTCTCATATATTGACCTAGTTAATGTGTTTTTATTCATTTTTGTCTCAGGATGTCCCAACAGCAGCTGATTTTGTCAAAGTTAGTGGTCTTCGCTTCTCTTCTTCTGATCTGCTTCGTATGGAGCGCATCATCCTTGATAAACTCAACTGGAATTTAAATGCTACTACTCCTTTATATTTTTTGCAAGTGGTAAGTATATGCAACGAGTATCGTTCATGAAACCTTCCATCCTTCTTTCTTTCTTGCTTCTTCATTTCTATCCCTCCTTTCTCTTTTTCTTAACCCCTTTCCACATGATTTTTTATTTGCTTTTATTATTTTAGTACAAGACCTTGTAATAAGTATGTATTTTTAATTTTCTGCAGTTCCATGCTCTTGGCGTTGCAAAAGGCTTTCTTGATCATTGCCCAGTGAACCAACATTTACAACACATCACTTCTCTTATGGAGGGCCTCCTCTGCCACCACAAGTTTATGTTCTTTAAGGTAAATTCTCCTTTAATTTAAGTATTGTTAGTCAAACACAATATATATGTTGTAGTTATTTTTTTTTATCTCAGGTAATTTTTCTTTTTCTTTTGTTTTGGGGTATGGTAATATGCAAATGAAGTTGAAACAAAAGAAAAATAAAAAATTAACTATGCAACATATATATATATTTGTGCATTAAATCGTGCGAACAAAATGTTGCTAGGAATAAGTCAGGCTTTTATTTCTGAGAATTACCACTGTGAGTGAAACAACAGTAAGGAAATATCTTGAGTCCACTGGCTGCTCATTAGCCATTTCCTAGGAGAGCATTCTTTGGCCCAACTACTTCTGCTTACAACAGGCTTGCACTTGTACATGGAGTACAGTGCTGCACAATCGTTTCTGAGGTACATCATATTGATCTTGTATGGATTTGTTTTCTTTCAGCCATCAACCCTTGCCCTTGCTTTGCTGAGTCATGAGTTGGTGTATGTCTGTAACAACTGGTTTATGGCAACACACTACTTGCAACATGAAGGAAAGGTATGATTTGTCAGTTTGTAACCTCTTCACCCCTTAACTAATCATGTGCAGAAGATCTCCGACCACTCGAGTCACCATCGGTTTTAATCCAGTCCAACAGGCTTGAGGTCAATGTAAAAAAAACCTAAAGGGGAGGGGGGGGGGGTGGTGAGAGAAAGCAAGAGACAAAACTTTTAAGACTTTTTTGTCACTTTTTTACCCTAAATCTCAAAATTTTGCTTTCTGTACATCCTGGAACTTCAGGAGCTGATATAACTTATAGCATTAGGAATAGAAATAAGAATGCCACAAAGGGCTCAACTAAGATATCCAGAGCACCCCTCATCTTTATACCCAAGATATTGAAACAATTCTTTCTGTAGATTTTAACACCTCCTTCTTTTTTGTAGGTTTCAGATGCCGAGCTTTGGGCGTGTTCAAAACTAGTTAATGAACATCTGAACTCTGTTATACAAAAACACTTACCCAGTTTCAAGACATTACCAATGACTGAGAATGAAGATGAAGAGTTTCCAGTGATAGAAAATTGAAAATGAATTTGTACAGGTTCGTCTTGCTTATTATTTTTCAACAGTATATATACACTGTCAAACTTTCTGTCACAACCTAAATTAGAGACCTTCAATGTGCTAACCTCTGCATTCATCCTGATGACCTTTAAACCAATCAAAAGCATCAAACAAGTAAATGGTTTGTAATGATCCTCAATTATTTGCCCAGTGAATTAACTTTCCTACAGTTGCCTATAAGAGAGATCAATCTGTGACAGAAATCATTCTGTCCTACATGTAGTGTATGCACCACAGACAGTGACATATGCATTCAGTCAGAACACTGTTTTGATCTCTATAAAGCAGAGTGTCATTTCAGGTTGAATGTTGGTTCTCTAAAACAGATGCTGTCCTGCATAGAGTTGGAGTTGGGTCCATGCCTGAGGGTTTCCAAACAAAACTAATAGCAGCTTTTATTTCCTTGTAGGTCCTCACTGCTTGCTAAGACGTTTTCTTTGTTACGTGATTAACTACAGTGTAGTTTAGTATGTAAAGCAACAAAGGAACACTTTACTTAACTATCACAACTCAAGACTAGACTAGGGATGTGTGAATTGTAATGAACAGTACATATGTATATTTAAATCAAAATTATGTATAAATTTGAGAACCACCCAAAGCAAACAAGCAGCTCAACATCATACTTAGAGATTCTCATTATGTCAACTGTTTTGTACAGTTCTTTTTTTATGAATTTTATTGTTAAAATGACCAAAAACCATTTTATTGGTTTAATGGTTTGCCGGGTTTGTGTTACTTGTGGTATCTCGTTGTGTTAATATGACTGTACATTTGTACATTTTATTGGTTTTATATGGTGGAATGGAGAAAAGGCATTAGTGTAGACACCTTTATTATCTGTAAATATTTTAGTATGGAGTGAAAATAAAAGTTTGTACTTTATAAAAAGAGGATCTTCTATTTTGTTATACATTTTCTTCCATAATCCTCTGATGTACTTGAGTTTGATCACAGTGGGGGGTGGGAGGACTTACATCTGATAAGACTTGCAAGAGGAACACTTAATGTGGACTTTTTTTTATGTTTGTGGTCAGTTTTGTGTCAGCTGTTGTGAATTTTAAGTACACAGTTAGCTGATGTGAGGTCTGGAACCACAAATTATTTTACTGCCCACTGGAAAATGCCAAGAACAATATGGTGACATTTTTGAGCAGTTTTGAAAATTTGTTGGTTCTAGACCTTGCAACAGCTGACTGCATGCATTTTAAAATTTTACATGGCCACTACAAAACAGTCTACACACATCGATAAACGTAAACATTTTACTCCTTCTGTAATATTCGAATCTGCTGGGAGAGCCTAACATGGTTAGGTATTCATTTTAGATGCAAAACGTCTACTGATTAACTAAATTTAACACCACAAAACTCCATGGTTTTGAACCAAAGAAAATGTCAAGATTATATGATGACAAAGAAAAACAAATAAAAAAAATATTGTTGTTCTGATTTTACTGTCTGAAAAAAGAAACTTAAAACTGTTAGTTTACCAGTGCATATCCCAGAAGAAAAAAAAACCTTTGCTTGCCTAGTACTTAACAAAAAAAGAACTTGACCAGTGATGAGGAAGAGTGCAGGGTGTTTATCACAACATTTTCTAAAATTGGAAACAAAATATCACAGGTGTTAAAGAGTCACATTCCTTGGCCCATTCTTGCTTTATCAGCTAAGGGTCCCACCTCCATGAACACAGCCATCTGACGTTGATTGAGATTCATCCACTTTGTACTGCAAGTGTCAATACATGACTGCTATTTAAAATAAAAATAAGAATTGATTAGAAATTTGTGTGCTTTTTAAAATCAGATTGATAATGTAACCTGTACCACAGTCTAAGAGGTGAAAGTCGTAAGG